TGTTGATTGTTGTATTGAATTTAGAGAGAATATCTCAGCCGAGCAAAGGAACTTGATATTTGGGGCATAACTAGGAACATCTGAGAGGTTGGGAAGTTGTCTATGGAACACAGTAATAGGGGAGTCTTTCTTGGATAGATGGTCTTTCCTCCTACCCCGACAATAGGAGAGGTGAAAGGTACTGTTTGCCCCCAGAATTCTGTCAGGACTGAGAAGGTAGCTCTGATGTCAAGGAGAAAGTCAACCTTGCACCTATCCACCTGAATTCGCACCCTGGGTTTCTTTGTACTGATTGTTACAGCCAGGGACAAGGACCCAAGGCACCATCAACTGAATGCCATGCCCAGAAGGTCAGAGGGTTTCCTGGCCATAGGCCTCCTATGAGATCTAGGACAGTCAGAGCCCCAATGACCTTGTTGATATTTAGGGCATGGGGTACGCCAAGTGCATGGTGCAGGACATGCCCTGGCCCAATGTCCGTCCTTGCCACACTTGAAGCAGGCACCCAGGGGAGGTTTTGGTGATGGGTGGCAACCCAAGGAAGCACCCTGCAGGACCTGGGGGAGCATCTGAAATTTCTCAGTCTGGGGGGTGGCAGGGCCTTGTTTGAGCTTTTTTAGTTTGGCCCAGATGTCTGGCTAGTTCTGTGAGAGGAAATATGTCATAAGGACATGACGGCCATCTGGGGTTTTGGGAGTTTGATCTGGGGCAGCAAGTGGCCCCGGAGGGTGATTGGGATTAACTCAGTGAGTTTCATCCACATGGGCTCTGGCAAGTTCCCAGACTCTGGTACGTTCCTCAAGAAGGAGAGTATTAGCCAATAACATATAAGTGAGGCTATAAGCCTGGAGGACCCATTGAAACTCTCTTCTATGGTGAATGAGCTCAATCTTCTCTCTAGTTGCATGAGGTCATTCATAAAGAATGGGACATGAACCCGGATAATGCCCTCAGGTCCAGCAACCTCTCTTAAAGGGGCTATGATTTGTGGGACTAGGCGTGGGACCTAGTTTGAGGGGAAATAAAGGTGTCAGCCAAGTCAGGGGGAGCACCTAAGGGGCTAGATGGAGCAGACAGGGGAGGTCGGTAGGGAGGGGGTTCATCTGCCGGATAGGTAGGGGTGAGAATGAAGAAGAGAAAAAGCCTCAACATAGGGGAACTCCTTCCACTTTTTTGAGTGCTCACAGGAGTTAAACAGATCTCTAAGAATTGCAGGATCTAGGGATCCTCCTGGGGGCCATTGACTTTGATTGTCTAATTGACAGTAAGGCCAATCTTGTGTGCAGAATTTAATAAGGGGGAGTCTGCAGGGAGGGAAGAATAGGCCCCCATAGGTCAGGAGGGACAAGGGTGGTTAAGAGAGGGGGGGGAAGGGGAGTGCCTGTTCTTTCACCCCTCAGGACCTCCCACTCATGAACTGGGTTCCAGAGAGTCATGGTGGGGTGCGTTCTCTCCTCCAGATTGGGTGTCAGAGGTTTGCCGGACGATCACGGTCAAAGCCCCTGAGTAGCCCATCTGAAGTTGGATACCCGATAGGGGAACTCACCTACTGAAGATCTGGTGTTGTAAACAGCACTCGAAAGTGTGGACCAGGACGGCAAGCCTTGAGAGAGGGGGCCCTCGAGCAACGAGGCATTCCCCCTCCCGGGTTTCGGCACCAATGAAAGAACGAACAAGGATTGTCATCGGAGCAAATACCCATTTATTGAGGAACAGCTCTTCATATTTATAGAGCCAGGGGTGGTTTGACAGTTGGCATGGGGTGCTTTTTGCTTAGAGGGTAAGGATCAGGTGAGCCAACAGGACTAGTCTGATTGGTGGGTAGGATCAGGTGAGCCATCAGGGCTCTGATTGGTGGGTAAGGATCATGTGAGCCAGCAGGGCTCACCATTGGACAGCTCTTCTTGGGGGATGGGGAAGTTAGTCTTTGGAGCCTGTGCAACTCCCAACAGTCCCCCCAACCCCCAAAAAATATTATGATAGTAAAAGTTCTAGAAGGCACATATTCTCTGGCACTCTGTCATGTACCAGGCTGTATGTGCTTGCCATCTTTATGTAAGTGTCAGTGTCAGTCATGCTCTAGGTTCAGGCACAGCTTTGCTTCTCATTGTGTGCTCCTTTCTGTGACTGTACCTTATAGAAGGAGTCAAGCCTCTTTTCTCATCAGCTTGTTATCTGCCCAGTACACTGGACA